ATATATATAATAAATGTATTGTTTTATTATATACTTATAAATTTACTTTCCATTTTATTTGATTATTAATTATACTGTAAATGTATTATGTATTATTAATTAAATATATATATAATAAATGTATTGTTTTATTATATGTATAATTTACATTCCATTTTATTTGATTGTTAAGTATATTGTAAATGTATTATGTATTATGTAATTATTAATGTATTACTCTTGTTAAAATATATTTGAAAATGAGTCCCATGGTGCCACACGAGTGTTCGTAAAAAATTGGTGAATATATAATGAGAAAGTTTGTTCATCTGTAAAATCGAATCTACGAGAATTCTTAATTCGTAATTTAACGAATGGTATTCAAGATATAAGTTTTATTTTCATCGTTTCCGTTCGAAATATAAAAACTTTTTGTTTTAATTCCAACGGTATTTCCTCGTTAACGTTTCTGTTCTATGCAAAGGAGTTCCAACTTCCGTTCGGATAGATTACCCCGTCAATTTAAAATTAAGTATTATAATATATAATGAATCCCGTTCGCGTTAAGATAAGTTGATTCATTATTTAATCAGAGACGAATGATTATTTTTTTGTTCATATTTTACACGAGATTCGATAATATAATTATCTTTTATTATTAATTATATATAAATTATTGATACTCATACAAAATGTGTAAGTTCGTGAAAATAATTTATGTCTTCTAAATGAATTTACGAATAATTTAATTAATTAATACTCTGATAATATCCAAAATAACAAAACGATAAATAATATTCTGTCATTTTCAAAATTGACAAGTTTGTTTTCATAATAATTCGGTTTTAAATTAATCCACAAATTCAAATAACAATAAAATCGTAACACACAAATGCGAGTAAAATAAAAAATATTTAAGAATGTTCTATCATAAAAAAAAAATATAAAAAGAACTATACATACACATACATATATATATATTTAATCTCTGCCAATAATTTCATATCAATTCCAAGTTGGATAAAATATAAATCGATCGATCTGAACGACGAAAAAAATAAATAATAATAATAATAATCTATTGCTATCAGAGCTTTATGTCCATTCGAATTCATTCGTTACGCGATTAGAATGTTTTTATTTGAAAGATCCGATTACGCGATTTCGATCGATCTCTCGCGTTCCTTGTTCTCCGTTTCTTTTCTTTTCTTTTTTATTTTTTTTTATTTTCTTTTTGCACCTACGGCCTCGACAGAGATCTTAATTGGAGCCGACGAGAACCACTAGTTCTATCTATCTCTCTCTCTCTCTCTCTCTCTTTCTCATTTCAATCCATTGCGACTATACTTCTCCTTTCGTTTTATTTGTGGATTAGTCAGACGATGACTACAAGGGGGTATCCTACGAAACATCTTCTGAATCATGGCTCAACTTTATATGTTAACTTATCTACTTTTATTTAACTCTTTTTTTTTTTTTTTTTTATTAGTTTTAAATAAAAATCAGATTTTACGTGTTTCTTTTTTTCTTCATTTGTAAGAATAAAATAAAATGGAAAGTAAATTTATACGTAATTGTTCTCGATTTTATTCTTCTAACAGAAGGTAAGGTATTGCAACATCATGATGATTATTCTTGTAATAGAATAAATGATTAATTTTTGTTCAATTTCTAAGAATTGTTTTTAATGATAATTAAATTCATGTATATTTTCTATTCATGCGAATTATTTTAATTATTTCCTTTGATAAATTT